TTTGAACCCTTATTCACAGGCATTCTCAACATGCTTGAAAATCAGGCTACTTAATTAGGTGCATAAAAAAGATTGTAAGATCTTCTCTTTAGGTGTCTCCCCCCCCCTTTTTTTTTTAAAAAACTTGCAGTCATGATTCCTATCTTTTTGAGACCACATAACATTACTTAAGGAAAAGGGTACAGGGTCAATCCCTTTATTTTATTATAGTTGGGCATGGGATGTATTTTTCAACCCCTATAACATAACTTAAGGAAAAGGGTACGGGGTCAATCCCTTTATTTTCTTATAGTTGGGCATGGGATGTATTTTTCAACCCCCAATGAAATTAAAAGGGGGATAAGTTAATTACAAATAAAAGGTTCTCTTTTTACAATACCCATCATGATGACTTCCATCAAGAAATAAGATAGGAAAAAGAGTGTTTCTCTTTCCTTTCTTTGGCAGGTGTCAGATACTTGAAAGAAAAAACTCTGCTACTCCAGCAGATTTGGATGAGAAGCAGCAGCTCCTGTATACCATTAAAAAGCTAGAGCTTCAGGTGGAGAGTGTACAGTCAGAAATCAAACTGGAACAAACCAAAACAAAGGAAGAAAAGTGAGTGTGACAAGATTTTGTACCTTACAAAGATTTGTAGGGGAAGAATATATAGTAATGTATCCGAGGAGTAACTATATCTCATATGTGACTGTTGTGTATGCATACAAGCTTTCCCCTACCCCTGTTAAATTGAGCTTGTAGAGGTTAGTCTGAACTGAAACCCTGGATCCAGGTAGCTTCAGTTTATTAAAGTTTTGACTCTAGGTCCAGAAATTACGGTTCGAACCTCTCTCTACAGTAGGCCCCAAAATGGATCTTCATGTTCAAATAACTCCAATCTCTGTGGAAATCCCCACTCTAACTGCTGACTTGTGCCCTTTTCTAGCTGTATATAAGTTGCTGATCTAAATTGATCCCTGCCTTCAGGTATTGGAAACTTCGGAGGGGTGGCCGAGTTAGTCTGTAACAGGAAAAACGTAAAAAAACAACAAATAGACTAGTAGCATCTTAGGGTATGTCTAGACTACAGGCTTTTGTCGACAGAAGTTTCGTTGACAGATACTGTCGACAAAGCTTCTGTTGACAAAGAGCTTCTAGACTACATCCAGTTCCGTCGACACGGCAAGCCACTTTGTCAACATGACAATGTAGACACAAAGGACAGTGTAGATGCATAAACGCCTTCTGTCGACAGAACTCTGTTGACAAAAGGCGTTATTCCTTGTCGAATGAGGTTTACAGCCGTCAACAAAACTGCTGAGTTCTATCGACGTTATGTCGACAGAACTCAGCAGCAATGTAGACACCGGTATAGTTTTGTCTATAAAAATCCACTTTTGTCGACAAAACCCTGTAGTCTAGACACACCCTTAAAGACTAACAAACCATGTAGATGGTATTATGAGCTTTCAAAAGCTCATGATACCATCTACAAGTTTTCTTAGTCTTTAAGATGTTACTAGTCTATTTGTGGCTTAAGTTTTTTCAGATATTGGGTACATCAACTTACTGTGTCCATCCTGACAAAAATGCAAACTGGCTTCCTATCTTGGCATTTTCCTTACAAAAGATGAAGAAATAGATACTTTGCCCATCCTGTTACTGTATTTTACTAAATTCTTAGGAAGTTGAACAAGCAAATACTCACAATGCATTTTTGAAATACTGCACTTGGCTAGTTACCCATATGCTGTCACCAGCATGTAGCATAGGGCCTATCTCCCAGTCAGCTGGAATTTCTGCAATTTGGTAGTTTTGTCTGGGAGCCAGTAAGTAAGTTCATTCCCCTGAACTAGGTTTCACTTCCCCGGGTTGTTACACAATAGGCATTTTCTTCACTTGCCTTACAAAAGAAAATAGAAACGCTGCTGAATTCTTTAAGGATAACTTTCGAGATGTTTGCATCAAAATGATGACGACATGTCCAGCTATGAAACTGAACTACTCCAATCTGACATACATAGATGCAAGTTTGAGGATAGGCAGTGAAGGACCTTGAAAGTCAAGACAAGCAGCTTATGTTTGCAGATACTGAGCAAGGTCTACCAAGCGTTTCAGTACTAGGGCAGGTCAGCTAGATTATAACTGACTTTTGAGCAGTTCCCTAATTTGTCACTTCGTTATACTGCAGGGTTTGAAAATCATTTCCTTAAGGAAAGGCTTGGGAACAGAGCATTATGCTGGTAGGAACAAGACAATACCCTGGATACTACCAAATGTTTGTAAACATGTTCACATTGTTACTGGAAGTTCTCTGGTCGTGAGCACAGTGCTGCAGGGGAAGCAACCCAAGAGACCCAAAAGGTAGTAGGAGAAAGGATGAAGTTTCATAGACTTTAAGGTCAGAAGGGACCATCATCATCATCTAATCTAACCTCCTGCACATTGCAGGGCACAGAACCTCACCCATCCACTTCTGCAGTAGAAGACACTAACTCAGCCAGAGATTAGGGGAAGTCCTCAAATCATTGTTTAAAGACATCAAATTACACAGAATCCACCATTTACAGTAGCTTAAACCTGCAAGTGACCCAGGCCCCATGTTGCAGAGGAAGGCAAAAGATTAACTGCTCTGGAAGAGTGAGAGAAAAGGGCATTAGGGCATGGGGAAACACGTGTGCCTCTGAACTCTGTTGGAGTTAGTGTTTTGGTGAGAAGCTCCATAAATAAGAGACTTACCAGAATTAAAAGCTATTAAGAGACACCGCTTCAAAACCTTAGCTCCATCCATTTTATTTAATGAAAGGTGTGACTTTTCCAGGGTCTATAACAGGCCTGGGCAAAATATGGCCCACGGGCTGCACCTGGCCCACCAAGCCATCAGATCCAGTCCGCAGATGCAGCGGGCACCCCCAGGGCACCTCCTGCTTGCATCGTCCCCCACCTGCACACCTCTTAGAAAAGCAGCTGCCAGGCCAGTTTCTCCTTCAGAACTATGAGCCTGGAGGGGAGGGGAGAAAGGGATAGAGGCACCTCATGAAGCCTAGCACAATTCCATTGGCTGGTTTCTGGCTAATGGTAGCTCCTGTTTGAAAAACAGGCAGCACACGAAGCACCCTCCCTCCCTCCAACTCGTAGTTATTCACACACACACATCGGCCCCTGCAGCCTGTTCATGGGCAGACCAGGCAAGCTGCCTGAGAACCCTGCTGGGCTGCTGGCCAGGAGTCACCCAGGTAAGTCTCCCGGCCAGAGCGTGCCTCTAGCACTCCAGCCCCTCTCTTCCCCAACCCTCTTCCCCATACTCCTTCCCCTCTACTCCACTTACCCAAAACCTCTGCCCCCCTCCTGCACCCATACCCCCTACCAGATCCAGCCCCCAATCCTCTGCCCCAGGTCATAACCCCTCCTGCCCTAGGTCCTAATGCAAACACCTGCACCCCAGGTCACAACCCCTTCCTGTCCTAGGTCACAACCCAGACCCCTGCATCCCAGTCCCCTGCCCGAGGTCACAACTGCCTCCTTCACCCAAACTCCCTCCCAGACCCCACTCTCCGTCCTGCAACACAATCCCTTACCCAAAGCTGCACCCAACCTCCATCCCAGACCCCACATTTCCTTCATTAATATCATAGAAGAGTGTGGCCCTCGACCACTTTCCAAAATCTTGGAGTGGCCCCCAAAATTTGGGCAAAAATTATTGCCCACCCCTGGTTTATAAGCACCTACCTGGATAGTATATGGGTATTTTAATTTTACAGAAAAAAAGTGAGAGTCCCAATGGCTGAAAGTTCATGCTAGAGAAAGTCTGACTGGAAATAAGGGGCAAATGTTTAACAATATGGGTAAATGTCCCTAGGGCAGTTTACTTAGGGACATGGCAAATTCTTCTTCAGTTGAAACCTTCAGGTCCAGAGTAGCTATCTTTCCAAAAGATATGCTCATTTCTCACAGGAGCGTGGGCTTGATGCTGAAATTATTGGGTGAGTCTTTGGCCTGTAATTCAGGAGGCCTGATTATTAAACGATCAGAAGAGTCACTTCTGGACTTAATCTCTGTAAGGGCACCAGGGACCTCGAGAGAGGCGATGGTGAAGGGTAGAAGGCTACTTTTTATTGTCTGACTGAAATTCCATTTGTAAGTTGTTGAAGGTTTGTTTGGTTGGTTTTCTTTCCTCTCCCACTGGAAAAATAAAAAGTCAGGCTAGAAAAAATGTTTGACAGTGGGGATAGTCCTTTAGCTTTCTGAACTGGTGTGTGAAAATGTTTGACAGTGGGGATAGTTAGTCCTTTAGCTTTCTGAACTGGTGTGTCTTAAACTCGAGGGATTTGCAAGTTTGATGGAAAGGAGTGATGAAAGAAATCCTAAAGCAGGGGCTAATGGAACAGTTTAGCAAAATGGAAGATGATGGAAGGACCATTTCAGATGTAATTTTTTTGTCTTAAACAGGGCAAAATTTTCTGACTTGCAACATACATACAGCAAGCTTCTCCCTGAGCTCACTGATGCAATGAAAACCATTGAAGAACTAAAAAGGAAAGAGGTAAATTAGTTGTGAAGACAAATTGCAATGAATTTTAGGAGGGAGAAATGAATGTGGATTGTAACAATATTATTACTTCATGATGACTTCATGATTTTTCAGCTTTACCATTCACTGTAGCTACATATATTTTATGGCCATTTGTAAGGACAGACCTTGACACATCCTGCTCCAAAAACACAAAACACCACCTCTCACCACTTCAACTAAAGAAGAGCCACATCTCTGCTGTGTTAGTACAGATATCCTTTGTTGGCCTCAAGCTACTGCAGTGCAACACAGTTGCATACATCTGAGCAGTTCTGCATCTATCCCAACTCAAGAGCCTGAAGTTAGGCATCTAAATATTTGCATAATCTTAAAGTAAGGTTTTTTGGTAAGCGACCATCTTTTTAGTTATGTTTTTTACACTGCCTTACATGGTCAGGTCCCAATCCAGGGGTGGGCAATATTTTTTGTCAAAGGCCACGCCAAGAATTTTGGAAGTGGTCAAGGGGCCATACTCTTCCATGGTATTAATGGAGGAAGTACAGAGTCTGGGATGGAGGTTAGGTGCAGAAAGGAGCTTATGGTATGGGAGGGAATTTGGGTGAAGGAGGCAGTTGTAACATGGGGCACTGGACTGGGATGCAGGGGGTTGAATTGTGACCTAGGGCAGGGAATTGGGGTAGAGGAGGGGATGCAGGGGATTGAATTATGAGCTAGGGCAGGAGGGGACTGTGGTCTGGGGCAGCAGATTGGGGTGCTGGATCTGGGAGGAGGTATGGGTTCAGGAGGGGGGCAGAGGATTTGGGTATGTGGAGTTGGGGGGACAAGAGTTGGGATCAGAGTGTTGGGGAAGGGAGGGTTGGGGAGCTAGGGGCAGCTCTGGCCAGGAGATTTACCAGCCAGCAACCCATTCCTAAATCAGCTTCCCTGACTGCCCTCCCCCCCACTTGTAGTTCTTCACAGAGCACAGAATAATTACAAGCCCCTTGTGCTTCTTGGCTGCCTGTTACTGAAACAAATTAAGATTGCCTCCTTCACCCAAATTCCCTCCAATACCCCAAGCTCCCTTCTGCACCTAACCTCCATCCCAGACCCTGTACCTCCTCCAATATCACGGAAGCATACGGCCCCTCGACCACTTTCCAAATTCTTGGCGTGGCCCCTGTCAAAAATTATTGCCCACCCGTAGATTGGGACCTGACCATGTGAGGCAGTGTAAAAAACATAATTAAAAAGATGGTCCCTTACCCAAAAACCTTACTTTCTTAAGATTATGATTGTGCTGAGGGTGGGAGCAGCTCCTAAAGCTCCCTCTCCCTGCCCTCCAGGCTCAGTTTTTAAAATGAAACCACACCGCAGCCGCGTTTCTGAGTGGTGTGCGGGTCGGGTGAGGCACTCTGTTTTTAAAGTGAAACCACACCGCAGCCGCGTTTGAGTGGTGTGCGGGTCGGGTGAGGCACTCTGGGAGCCTCAGGCAGGCTCCGCAAGCCAGTTCCTGTGGCTTGGTGGGCCTGGATCTGGCCCACAGGCCATATTTTTCTCAGGTCTGTCCCAATCTATGACAGGGGCTCTCACGGTGCATATAATAAAGTACTGTACAATATATGTCTCAATAGCTAGAAGAATGGAGTTCAGGTTTAGCTTTGAACTTTCTTGCTTTTTCTCAGTGCTTTTAATAGAGACCTTACTATTCAGTATTTTAAAAAAAAGGGAAAATCTACTTCTTAGGCTGCATAAAGAAATTACTTTTGGGAGTTGATATAGTGGTCACTGGTGGGAACTTTCTCTGGAAGTAGCCATGAAGTGTTAGATTTTGGGGGTAGTGGGAGTATCAGGCCATTTCAATTAATTCTTCCTTGCAGTTGGAGAAAGTGGATAAGGTGGTGGTAGAAGAACTGAATGAAAAGCTAGAGCTGGCAGAGAGAGCTTTGGCTACAAAACAACTTCAGATGGATGAAATGAAGCAGACCATTGCTAAGCAGGAAGAAGACCTTGAAACCATGACTGTCCTCCGAGCTCAGGTATGAGGGGCCCTTCAGAAAAGTCAGGGAGTCTTGGATAGTTCTCATTCTTACTGTTGAGAAATAGAAAGAAATACCCTAATGTCTCAAGCAATTGCTCTGAAAAGATTAAAATAGACAAAGGATCCAGATATATAATTACCGTTTTAAGTTTCCCCTATAGATCTGTGTAGAATATGTACTTTTGTAAATTACCATTTACCATTGATTTTAATGGATGGGATTTCTAGATATTAAAGGGGTCTGAAACAGTACAGAGAGTTTTAAACCTCCTATAAAAAGTTTGATAGTTGATTAATGTTGTTCTTAATTTCCCGTGGGCTCCCTTAATGTTAAAGTAGTGGTTTTAGTCAAATTCAATGAGACCAGGGATGTAAAGTGTGACTGGGAAGAAGGCAGGTCTTGAACTAGAATTCTGGGAACAGTTTCTGGCTCTGCCAAAGATTTTCTGTATGACCTTGGAGAAGTCATTTGCTCATGGTCTTTATGTCATCCTTGTCTGTAAAATGGAAATGATGATGCCTGACTTCACCCAGCCTTTCTTTGCTATTTAGCTTTTTGGGTCTTGGGCTATGTCCTGCCAAGCGTGTGTGCAGCTACCAGCACAGTGTAGGTGGTGATTTTGGTTGGGGCTTAAAGGGGCTATTGCAATACAAAGAACACACTGGTTGGCTGTGCTAACAAGTGGGATTAATTTATACCAGTAATGGGCAACTTGGGCTACATGAGTGGCCCTCTTTCATCTCAGTGGGCCACAAGAATGCCTTAACCAAGGCAGTCTCCCAGGGTAGGGTAGTTTTGCTAACTGTGCTTGTGTACCTAGAATTTGCAGGGTGTGCTGATTGAGCCGTAGTAGCTCTTTGATTGGATGCAAAGGGAACGCACAGCTCTGTCAGTGTTGTGTGTAATCAGCATGCACCTCACTTCACATGCCCTTGCTTTATGTGCATGTCACTTTAGGTAGGAAAAAAAAACCTATGCAGAGGGAAACCAGCAGTATCTGGCAGCTGGGCATGTGGGGCACGTGCACCATAGGTTGCTCACCACTGACTTATACACTGGTAGAGTTACATCTGGTTTAAAAAGTAAATGCTGACTGTAATTTTATTATCTCTGACCAGATGGAGGTTTATTGTTCTGACTTCCATGCTGAGAGAGAAGCAAGAGAGAAGATACATGAAGAAAAAGAACAGTTGGCTGTACAGTTGACGTACCTGCTACAGGAGAAAGATGCTCTTGAAGACCGTGGCAGGTGAGAAACTGATTAAGGGAAATTTCAAACATGTCTAAGACTTAGTTGTCTACTCTGGATCATGTTGTTGTCACATGTGTTAGGGGGCTGGCTAGGGACTTGTTAAAGCTAATGTTGATTTTAACAACTGTTGAAAGCTGCAACATGCCTGTGCTCATCAATAGAATTTAAAAAGACAAAAACAACTGAAAACTGTGGAAGCCATGGACTTAGCTCTACAGTGATCTGGCTGATATAAACGAGAAATTAGCCAGATGACAGAGGCCTCTGTGTGAGAGATCATCCAAAGAACCAAAATTAAACTGTATGACACGTGAATTATGGAAGTATTGTATTTATTTGAGAAGTACAGGTAAACTCAATGGGTGAAAATCTGTCCCCAATAATTTCAGTGGAGGCAGGATTTCACTGAACATCTCTAAATTGGCTTAATCTGAAAACCCATTCACTCAAGTATTTCGGGTCTCTTCTAAAAATTGAGTCCATAGATATAAACTGTATCTTAAAGACCCCCAGCCATTATGTTCACCACCCAGATATCTAGTATTTACCTAGACTTAAGGACAGAAAGATTTTAGATTTGTTCTCCCTCTTAAGTTAACTTCTTTTTCAAGAAAAAAAAGCCAGATTGATAGCTAACCTTTTATTTTATGATTGTAGTAATAATATTTACTTAGAATAAAATTTTAGAATGCATATCTGGGCCAAATTTCAGTAGACCCAATAAAAGTTAAATTCTCTCTGCATGTTCATTTGTATCATTTCAGCCAGAGTTATCAAAACCACAAATAAACACTACTTGTTGGGGGGCGGAGGGGGAGTCAAAATGGCTTTTGTAAAAGGAATCATGCCTCACAAATCTACTAGGATTCTTTAATGTGGAGTGGGGGTCAACATACATGGGCAAAGGTAATCCAGTGGCTATAGGGTACATGGACTTTCAGAAAACCTTTGACAAGGACCCTTACCAAAGACTCTTAAGCAAAAAAAGTCATGGGATAAGAGAGGAGGGTTTTCTCGTGGATTAGTAACTTAATAGATTGGGGGGAAAAGACTAGGAGTAAATGGTCAGTTCTCGATTGGGGGGGGAAAGACTAGGAGTAAATGGTCAGTTCTCAGAATGCAGAGAAAGAGAAATAGTGATGTCCCCCCAAGGATCTGTCCTGGGACCATGCGATGGAGTTGCACTCACTTCTCCTAAATGCCTTCTTGATAAGTGCATGTGCCTGCACTCTCTGTACCTGTTTGTAGCAGGCCTTCACTGACTCAGCCCTCCAGCCACATCATAAAGTCTGTCTGTAAGATAAAGCAAAGCAAATCCCGGTGGGGGTACAAATCCAACAAGGGTCTCTCTGAGTTCTCTCTGCAATGCCTTGGTCTGACCCTGCTTCAGACTAGAGCGATGCCCTAGGGCTTCTTCCATGGAGACCAGTGTCTTCACCCTCTTGGGGCCTTTCTACTTGCAGTCCTCCAGCTGAGATGCTGGAGTTCAGTTTCCCTCTTTGAAGTGCCTCAGCATCCAAACCACATCTCCACTATGGCTAATGAGTGGTTGGGGGAAACCCAGGCCCACTCACTACTCTGGGTCTCAGCCCTGGGACCCCATAGGTAGCAGCTGTATGCTGTGTTCCTTTAACTAAGTCACACTGCTGCTCTAATTCCCTGGGCCACTTACCTCAGGGCCTGATGGAGCCACAGCCACAGTCTCATCTGAGGCCCTACAGCTCCCTTGGCCAGACAACCACACTCCTCCAGCTCTAGTAAGGAACTGAACTCAGTCTTCTCCTGCAGCTCCTTTTGTACTGACTTGCTGGGTCCTGATTGGCTGATCCCTACACAGTCACTCTAGGCAGTTTGGAGGAGCTCTCTACTGCCTTTTTCTGGGGTGAGGTGTTGCAGGGCCACAAGTCCTCGAGCAGGGGGCCTCAGGGCCTATTCTACCCCATCACTGACCAGCACTGTCAACATTCATTAATGATCTGGGAAAAGGAGTGAACAGTGAGGTAGCAAAATTTGCCAATGATACAAAATTACTCAAGATAGTTAAGTCCAAAGCAGACTGCAGAGAGTTACAAAGTTCTAGTAATCAAGTTTTGTGAGAAAAAACAAAAATGGCAAATGAAGCTCCATGTTGATAAATGCAAAGTAATGGAGACTGTCAAACATCTCAGCTATACATAGAAAATGATGGGATCTAAATTAGCTGTTACCACTCAAGAAAGAGCTCTTGAAATCATTGTGGCTATCTCTGTGAAAACATGCACTTACCATGCAGCTGTAGTCAAAAAAGCTAATGGAATGTTAGGAACCATTAGGAAAGGTATAGCTGACAAGACAGTAAATATGATACAGGCAGCCCCCGACTTACGCGGATCCAGCTTATGTCGGATCCGCACTTACGAACGGGGCTCGCCCCGGAGGACACGGATTGCGGGACCTCGCGGTCCTGTCGCCCGTGTACTCCGGGGCTTTCTCCGCGTCTCCCTGGTCTGCAGACCAGGAAGACGCGGAGC